GTCGTTCCGTGGCCGGCCATAGCCCCCTATTGGCCCAGTACGTTTTGCGTGAACTGCCGACGTAGCGGCGAACAGAGAACTCCGGAATTCCGAAGGCCCAATCCAAGTACGTGGCGGCCCCCGACGGCCTAACTTTTCGGGACCACCTCCACCGTGGAGGGATTTCCCCGTAAACCGTCGCCCACAGTGCCCCGGCCCCATCGGACCTTGAGTCCCTTGCGCACGCGCCCCTTATTCGCCTAATTGCATTCATACCCCTAAGACTCCCCCACTCTTCCCAAAAATCCTTGGCACACCCCCTTTTCGCACTTCCAGGCCCACATCCCACTCCGATCAGGAAGTCGCGCTGGGCGTGAGGTTGGGCGTCACAAAACCACCAGTACTTCCTAAAGTCGCGCCCGTCCATGCTATGCGATTTTAGGGAACGTACGGGCCACTACAGGAGCGCCCAAATTCATCCAACTAGAAACGTTTCTACTCTAATTTCTTCCACGACCGATAGCTGGGCCAAGTACTGGTGATTTAAAAAACAGCATTGCTGCCTTCATTCGTTTTTTCGTGATTTTCTTTGCTGCCTCATTCAGTGGCGTCACGTTGTCTAGTATGTACCGTCCAGGGATAAAGCCTGCTTGGTCGATATGAAAACATTCGTTTGTTGTGTTTCTATTTGCGAGAGCCTTAGTGAGGTTTTTGTAGGGAGTGGTGAGTAGTGATATGGGTTGGATAGCCAGGTTTTATTTTATTATAAATTATAAATTTATTAATTTAATAATTTGTCAATCCGTAAATGAATTTTCAGACTCCATTTGTCATATTGCCTTTTCTCAAAAATATTCCAACAACGATCTGCATAAAAAGCTTATATTCTAAGAGAAAAAAAGAAAAAAGAAAAAAGCAGATGATATTTTGTAGAATTGCAGTCACATTACAAACAGCTTTTGGATATGAAAGTCAGAATTCTTCACTCCTTTTTTTTTTTTTTTTTTTTTTTTTTGAGAATGTCATTGCTTATATTGTCCCAAAATTTACCCGCACCAACTTTTATTTGATTTGCAAAGTTTCCCCTCGCCTTTGCACTCTTTGCTGCAGAGATGATGTTTTTACGAAACCTTTTCCAAATGTTTCCCACCTTATCCTCCCCCCCCCC